CGATGCCAAAACGAATTCTGTGGCTCGAATGGTTCTTGAGAAACTTCGAAAAAAGCAGCGTCATATTCAAGTGGATTTTGCGACTCAAAAAAAAACAACGCAAATCTAAAACTTCTTGAATTCATGCATTTTTTGAGAAAACTGCCAACATTTCCTTATCGATGGTTCACTTGCTAAAAATGCCATTTAGTTATCTTTGGAATGATGTAAGAACAAGCGTTCTTGCTCATTTTGCTTCCGAGAAACATGCAAAACGGGACGGAAAACATGAAATTTTGCAATAATCTTGCGCACAAAACGACGATAATTTTTCTAAATTCATAGACAACAGAAGACTGTATTTTTTCTACATAACCCCCCCCCTCTGAATTTAAAGCAGGATCCGCCCCTGTTTAGGGCGAAAATTTCGTGAAAATGCTCAAGACTTAATGACTTGTGCAGTGATGCCACTTCTGCGAAAACCACTAAGAACTGCCTGCGTTTTCAACGCGTGAACAAAGCCTGCGTTGAGGGGCAAACCAATGCCCTGAGGGGCAGCTCACTACATGCGCATTTTCATAATTTCTCGAAAATGAAATGCCGATTCCAAAAACATTTGCTGCAACTTCCCGCTCGTTCAGCGTCTGCCAAAAAGCATTTCAAATGAAATTAAATTCCTGCTGAAATCACGACCGTTTCCATGCAATATATACTTTAAAGGTTCAGGAATTTTTCACATGAGGAATTCCACCGGTTCTTACCCTGTAACCCCTCAGATCGCTCCACGACGAGGATCATCCGCGAAATTGCCTTTTAAAAACGGCAATAATTTCGCCCTGCTCTCGTAAACACGGCCCGCTTGCCTTTCTAGGGCGTCCAATTTAAAAACTCAGTTTGCTTATTGTTATTGGTCCCAGCACTAGCAATAAGACGCGGATGGGGGGCAAAGCGAGCAGCCCCTTACAGACAAATTGAACTCCTGCGAACCGGCAAGACCAAACTGTAGGCGGCCTTTTTGAGTTGATCGGATCTGTATCCAGTATACGTATTCCAGAGTTGGATCTGGATTACCTCGAAAGGCGGCAGCACCAGCAACCGAATGCCACAACAGGAGATGTCAGACAGGAGGCGTGCTCACCGGTCGAAACCAGTCCAGAGTACATGGACCTCATCAAGATCATTCTGCTGGGAGCGCCCTCCGTGGGAAAAACCAGCATAATCCAGGTAATACCCGCATAGCAAAATGATATTCCCAGAATATGCCTGGAACATTCATGTGATGTACATGCATATTCCTGGGACATACATGAGTTCCATTATGAACATTCCATGGATGTCCCAGGAATCTGTCAGAGTTAATACACTGAATGTTCATGGTATGTTCTGCGAATGTACATGGTATGTTCAGGGAATATACATGTGTATTTTCTGGGAATGTACATGGTATGTTCAGTGAATGTACATGTGTATGTTCAGTGAATTTATATGGTATGTTCAGGGAATATACATGCATATATGTAACGAAAGAGAAACGATACTTTATTTCATCTTATTAGTTTATTCACATATTTAAGTATTTACTGATGTAATTTTTCAACAAGAGTTACTTGCAACTAATCTAAAACTAATTAAATGGATAATAAA